CTCTAACCACTGAGCAATAAAGGCTAAAATCCACTTTAAACAAAAACAGAAATTTCTGGAGAAACTCAGCTGGTTTAACAGTACCTGTGGAGAGGAAGAAGAGTCAAGAATTAAGGTCGTGTTCCTCCTCCAGAAGAGGGCTTTCATTTTTATGAAACATTTTTTATATCATCAGCAAATTAGGATACATTATAGTCTACCCTCTCCAAGTCATTAATATAGGTAGTAAATAATTAAAGCTGTTAAACTGATTTCTGGCACTCCACTAGTTACGTCTTTCCAACCTGAAAAAGACCCATTAATCCTCATTCTGTCTTCTGTGTGTTAACCAATCTTCACTCCATATTAATACATTATCCTCAACTGTGAGCACCTATCTTGTGCAATCACCTTTATGTGGCACCTTTATTGACTGACTGCCATCTGGAAATCCAAAGACAGTACCTTTTTGTCATTATTCATTCACGGAATGAGGGCATCATGGCTAGGCTAGCATTTAATACCCATCCCTAATTGCTCAGATGGCAGTTAAGAGTCATCCACATTGCTGTGGGTCTGGAGTCACATGTAAGCCAGACCAGGTGAGGTTGGCCGTTTCCTTCCCTAAAGCACATGAGTGACCAGATTGGTCTTTCCAACAATCAGCAATGGGTTCATGGTCATCATTAAATTCTTAATTCCAGATATTTATTGAATTCAAATTCCACCGTCTGCCGTGACAGGATTCAAGCCCATGTCCCCACAATATTACCTGGGTCTATGGATGAACAGTCCAGTGGTGATACCACTAGACTATCGTCTTTCCATTTACTGGTTCCCTTTTACCAACTCTGCTTGTTACATCCTAAAACTCTTCAAAAATAATAATGAATAACTTTGGTAGTGGAACACTGCACAAAAACATTTACCTGGGGTTCCAGAAGGCTTTGAAAAGGCTCATATGACTAACTTCATACAAAACTATCATATTTTATGATTTTATTCACCACTATCTCTTCTAGCAGATGTACATCATTGATTTTAAAAAAAACTGAGCAAGATTTGGTATGAGAATTTATACCACAGTAACACAGATTGCAGGTTCAAAGGACTGTATAGCTTATTCCTGTTCCTATTTCTTGTGTTCTTTTCAGTGATATGAATGAAAAGATTTGGTCACACAATCCTCCTTTGATTGAAGCATTGAAGAAGGTTACAGATGTTGTCACAGTAACAATGTCTATTCAAATAGACTTTTGTGCAAATGAAAAGAACCAGGTTTTTATCTTGAAACTTGAAAATGATTTTTGTCTTGAATTAGGTTTTTTTTCTCAAACTTTGTACCAAGATATAAACAAGTGTGCTCCATTTGAAATTGTTGAACCTGTCTGTACTGGTGGGTTTTTTACAGGAGTTTATTACCAGGGAAGGAAAGTCATTCACTGTTAAAAGCCTGAAAAGTGTGCAGCAGTAGTAATAGCTGCTGCTGGCTGTGAAGTACTTAAGTATTCCTTCATTTGGTAAAATAGGTACTCATATTCTGCATGGCTCCAATTGGACCTTTTTCAGACCATCTGTTCTAAATGGGGCTGGGTGTTATTTTGGGGTCACCCCAAAGGGACATCTGCCTGCTATTCTGACAGAATGATGAAGAGTCCATCACTTTGCTGCCTCTTTTTCAGGATGAGTCAGAACAGGAAGGCCAATTATGAACCTTCCCAGGATGTATTTAATCAGGGCAGAGGTGCGAGGAATGCAGGGTCCCTACCTGCCATCCTCCCACCTGATGAAATGACCATCACCAAACTCACCACAGCAGAGGGCCTTAAATTTCATCCCAATTTCTGTCTTCGGTCATTCTGAATTTCTCATTCTCCTTTTTAAACCTGTTTATAACTTGTGTAATACTTTCCCTTCGTTTTCAATAATGAGTCTGCAGCTACACTTTGTTCCCACAGATTATTACACTTTGATCCTAAAGAAAGAATTTACTGAAAATTACCCTGAACTTCCTAAGTTGAAGTTTATGGTCAAAGGCTTCATTCACATCTTCCTAAACTTGACAATTTAAAGACAAACATGAAACCAGCAACTCCCTGTTTGGATGATTTCCCAGACAAATAGTCAAAGCTTTTTGTACCATAGCAATGCAATGAAAGCAATGGGTGATGAGGAAACAAATAAAATGATATCAGAGCATATAGCTGATTCAAACTGCTTTCTGGATATCACCCAGCATCATGAGTGTCTTATTGTTTACTGAGGCATGACTTCCACACCACCTGTCAACTATTTTGAACCACGTGCTTCTACGCACTTCATCCCCAGTGTAAAATTATCAACTAAAATAAATAATATTACCTTTTTGATGCAGAACCAATGCTGAGCTTCAGTTACTTGACCATGGTAATTTGTGTTCAGGCCATCCTCCAGGTGATCATTTCAGTGGTGACATATGCTAGTTATTAACCACCAGCTATTAAGCCCTAACTAAATAACCTGTATGCATTCTGTGATGGCTTGGGAATGAAAACGGGTTATGACCTTTTCGACTAAACTCAGCTCCATTTAAACTGCCCAAAATTTGCACTGTACAATAGTATGACAGCGTGTTTTTGTTACGTGTTCTATTTTGGGTTGAAATCTTGTTGTGATATATGGACAATTTATATATTTATTTCAAACTGATTAATTCCTTTGTTCAAACAGCAAAAATGCCTCCTACAAATGAATTGAATTAGGTTTATTGTCACATGTTCTCACATGAGTACAGTGAAAAGTTTACATGTCGCCACTTACGACGCCATCTTGGGTGCTAAGGTACCTAGGTACAGAGCCTTGGTACAAAGCAGAAAAAGAAAACCAAGTTTAGAAAGTTAAACATTTACAGTCCCTCTTACTAATAAGTAGAAGAACAAAGAAACACAACTAACGGTTCAACACCACAATCCATGAGCGTCTGGCCGTGCTGGCACCACCCCACCCCCCCACCCCCTTCCCCGGGCTTGATCTTGTCCATGCTGCTGGCCTGGAATGAGTCAGAGCTTTGTTCTTAACATTACTTGGCACAATTTCATGTTTTAAACATGAAATGCAACATTTTCTTTGTATGTGCACAGACAGTATGCAAAAAACCTCTTTCCCTACTGAGGCAAATGATTTTGGAAGGTATTGGCATCATAGTTTCCTCCCACTGTTGAAAGTAGTGAAACTATGAATAAACTTCCAAGAGTAAGTGAAGGCAACTTTTACCTAACTTGGTGGTTGGGAAATCTGCAGGATGGAGGAATGCTGATTTTACACTCCACACATTGTCTAATTTTCCTTGAATTGAATTTAACAAATAGTGCAATGCAAACATTGAACACAACCCTATCAGTTTCCTGGCTGGCAGAATTGATTAAAACTGCTCCCATTGGACAAGAACACAAGAACTAGGAGCAGGAGTAGGCCGTCTGGCCCTTCGAGCCTGCTCAGCCATTCAATAAGATCATGGCTGATCCTTTCGTGGACTCAGATCCACTTACCCACGTTCTCACCGTAACCCTTAATTCCTTTATTGTTCAAAAAAAATCTACCTTTTTTTAAAAGCGTTTACTGAAGTAGCGTCAACTACTTCACTGGGCAAGGAATTCCATAGATTAACAACCCTCTGGGTGAAGAAATTCCTTCTCAGTTCAGTCCTAAATCTGTTCCCTCTAATCTTGAGGCTATGCCCTCTTGTCCTAGCAAGATGTAAACAGAATTCGTTTTCACCTCCTGGGTTTCGCAGCCAACAATTTTAGATGAAAATTGCTTGCATTAAAGTTGTTTGCAGAGTAAATGTAATTTTCCAGTGAGTCATGATCTGAATGATTGTGGAGCAGGTACAAGGGGCTGTATGACTTTAACCTATTCCTGTGCCAAAATAGGGTGTGGCTTTGACCATGACTTGGGTACCATTTATTGTTCCGATCTGGAACTGGTGCAGCCAGCTGGAAGCAATCTTACTGTCTTGGATGAAGATGTACCATGGGCCCTCTTGTGACACAGTGGTAGTGTTCCTACCTCTGGACTGAGGGGCAATTCAAGTCTCACCTGCTTCAGAGGTGTGTAGTAACATCTCTGAACAGGTTCAACAGAAAAATAGGTTAAATTAAGGTGTACCATTTCTGGCCATTGTCAGGTATTGCTTCTCAGTCTATTGCTGGTTTTGTTCAGGGTAATATGCCTTTTCCATGAGAGGCTGTGTCAACTTTTGAGTCCAGTGAACATAGTTTTCCTGTCCAGAGTTAAATGTTGTCTTCTGTTTGGGATTAGTTGTTGTTCCTGTGGATGCAGGTTCCTGGCTGTAGTTCTATCTACAGTTAGATGCAGCTTTCCTGTATTGCAGCTCAAAGTTAAGTGCAATTTTCCAGCGAAAGATAGAGGTCATTTTGCTTTCTGGAATTTGATGCTATCTTGCTATTGGGACGGATGAGTAACATTCTTTGTGTGGAAATAGGTGAAGCTTTTGTCTTGGATTTAGATGTAAATTTTTACGAAAGCAATTGATCTCTACAAGTAGAAGTGTTGTTTTCCTTACTGGCTTTAATGTAATTTTTTTCAGGAGAAATGCATTTTTATAATCCAGAGTTGTATACAAACTTCCTGTTCAGAATTAAATGCAGTTTTCCTTTTATGGAACTAAGTGTTGTTTTCCTACTTGGGTTTCTGTGCCATTTGCTAACATCATTTAGCTTTGTAATTCAGACAGGGCTGTCCATAGATCATCAAGGGGGCCAAGATATCCCTTACTGTTAATAGCTGTGACACTATTCTGAACAATCTAGGAACTTGTCAAGATCACAGTATGCTGTGGCCAAAATTTGTTAGGTAACATTACAGTATGAAGGTTTATTTTTAGTACAGAGCATGAACCTTTTGTGTACTTAAACTTTCTGCAGTGCAGTGGATATTACATGCTGAAGAAGATACTAACTTATAAATGAAGAAAAGACACATCTGAGTTGTATCAAGTTTTTAACTTTATTACACTGACTTTGATCTAAAAATGTAGATATATATTTGGTTTGCTTGTAGGTCACACAAAGCAGTAAAATGCTGCCAATAAATTCCATTGTACAAACTTGTAAATTCTTCAAGTGCTGCCAATGAGTCCAGTTTGCAGGTTCTTAGGGAAAATAATAACATTTTAGTGAGTGTATCTCTTTGATCCAGCTATCAACAAAACCAATCTCTTTTAACTCCAAACATCATCTCTGGTTCTAATGATGCTCTCATCCTCCAAAAATGTGGGGGTGGGAAAGGAGTTATATAAGCTGCAATAAATAATTTTCTTTAATATGGCCATCAGAATTATTGTGCTCTTTCAAATTTGAAAGAAGAATTATGTCTCAGCAGGGTCAAAGGCTTGTAAATTTCAACAGTCATTTTGGGTTAAAGTCCCTAAACTGCCTGACACTTGAACGTTCCTCGACATAGCTCATTTACGCTTGCTAGAACTGATCTCTGTGAATAAACAGGGACTGGTTCTCTGCAAAAAAAAAGGGAATATGTTCACACTGAGTATCGTTCTTGAATTAACTGGGAGCAAGGAGAACGGTGAGGGTGCACATTGTTCTCTGTCACTTATTCTATGTCAGTGAATAAGAAATAAAATTAGGATTGATGTCCTTTGAAGTGCGGTTTATATAATATAAATCCATATAAGACCATGAGATAGGAGGCTATTCAGGTGCACCATTCTGATCTGATAATCTTCAATTCCACATTCATGCTTTTTCTTCACAACTGTTGATTCCTTTACTAATTAAAAAAATCTATCTATCTTCGCCTTGAGTAGACTTAACCGAGCCTCAATAGCAGCCTTCGTGGTAAACAATTCCACAAATTCACTACCCTCTGATGGAAGAAATTCCTTCTCATCACTGTCTTAAATGAGTGATCCCATATTGAGATTATGTTCCCTAGTCCTAGACTATCCCACAAGGGGAAACAACCTCTCGGCATCTGTCCTTTCAAGTCCTGTAAGAATCTTGTATGATTCAATAAGATTGCATCTCATTCTTCTGAATTCCAATGAGTACAGGCCTAACCTAAACAACCGCTCCTCATAAGACAATCTCTCCATAAGTGATATCAGCCTAGTGAACTTTCTCTGGACTGCCTCCAATGCTAGTATATCTTTCCTTAGTTAAGGGTCCCAAATCTGTTCACAGTATTCCAAGTGTGGTCTTACTAGTGCCTTGCATAGATTTTGCAAAACCTCCCTACTTTGGTACTCCATTCCCTTTTGAAATAAAAGCCGACATTTTCTGTTACCTGCTGAACTTGGCTGCTAACATTTTGTGACTCATGGATGAGGACTGCCAATTCCTCCATTCTGTAGCTTTCTACAGTCTTTCTCCATCGTAATAATATTTGCTCCTCCTTCCTGCCATAGTGCATGTCCTTAAACTTTCTCACATTCTATTCCGTCTGCCAAGTTTTTTTTGACCACTTACTGTCTATTTCCCTCTGCAGACTCTGTCATCCTCACCACTTGCCTTTCACCCTTTTTATTTTGTGATGTGGAGGTGCTGGTGTCGGACTGGGGTGGGCAAGATCTGATGTCATACGACACCAGGTTATAGTCCAACAGGTTTATTTGAAATCACAAGCTTTTTGAGCACCGCCCCTCCATCAGGTAAAGTGTAGAGAGGCACCTAGGCACAGAATTTATAGCAGAGATCAAAGAGATCATACAAATGGTGTGAGTGGAGTGTTGACAGGTCAAATAATAAGTCTCTGCAGATGCTCAAGTGTCAGACCTTGTGAGTAAAGTGTCAACAGATGAAGGGATGACCTATAATCCAACTAATTGAGGCAGAGAGATCATTACAAAAAATTGAAAATAACGTGGTGCTGGAGACAAACCAAATGACTGGAATAACATGATAGTATAAGAGTCACATGCCGAGGGTCTAACCAAAGTAACAAGTAATCCAAAGCCATATAAACTAATTGAGGTAGAGAGATCATAACAATTTATCAAGGTAACTGTATCAATACAGGACTGTAAGGAAGGTTTTACAGATATAGAACAGTATGGCAGGGTTACATAGAGCATGACATGAACCCAAGATCACAGTTGAGGCCCCTTCATGGGAATGAAACTTAGCTATCGGTTTCTGCTCTAAGTCTGCATTGTTGTATATCACAAAGGCCACCTTGGAGGGGCTTCCCTGGAGATTGGAGGGTGAATGTTTCTGACAGCTGCTGAAGTATTCCCCTACTGGGAGGGAACATTCCTTTCTGTTGATTGTTGTTTGGTTTCCATTCATCCATTGTCGTGTCATCTGCAGCGTATGGGGTAGACAACACTGGCCGAATCACATGAGTATTTGCCATGTACACAGTGGATGGCGTTCCCACATGTGATGCTAAGTGTCCATGTTGATGATCTGACATGTCTTGCAGAGGTTGCTGTGGCAAGGTTGTAGTTGATGTTGTCCTGAAGCCTGGGTAGTTTGCTGCGAACGATGGTCTGAGGTTTGGTGGTTGTCTGCCGTCACACCTCTTGTACACTCCTCAAACATCTCTTACACCAGCTCTACAGCAGACGCCACAATCTTGAAATGGAGATAGTCCACAATCCACATTCTCAGCTTGTGCTTAGGATACAGTGGACCAGCTACGATAGACTGCCAAGCAGATGAGGCAATGGAACTACACCACCTACATGCACACCACAAAGAAACTGGAGAAACTTGGCATCACCACCAGGAGTAACTATGCCTCCCCTGGTACCATGGTTGAAACTGGTACCACCACAGGGAAATCCATCGTCAACCTGTCTGACCACACCCTTCAACCAGATGAAATTGAAAATCTCAGCCGAGGGCTCAATTTCTGCTCCAGTACCAAAATGGATCCCATTGGTCTCACAGCAGAGGAATTCATCAGGCGAATGAGACTGCAGGAATTCTTCCACAAACCCCAAGATGTTAGCAGCGAACCCAACGAGACAACCAACGAACCGGAACAGTCAACAGAGGTCCGCAGTGCAGTGACCAAAGAAGAAAGAGTCAAATTGGACTGCTCCAGAAGCCTGCTGTCCTAGGTTCGACATGTATACTCAAGCCGTCAGGAGGCAATGTGTTGATGCCAGATTCATCAGCTGTGCTCACAAGATGGTGCAGAATGTCACCCAAGCACAATGCATCACCATCCATGGTCTCAAGACCAATTGCAACATTGTCATCAAACCAGCAGACAAAGGAGGAGCCATCGTCATACAGAATAGAACGGACTACTACAAAGAAGCATACCGACAACTGAACAACCAGGAACACTACAGACAACTACCTGCTGATCTGACCAAAAGATCACCCCCATCAACTCAGCTAGATCAAAACCTGTGATCCAGACCTTCAGAGTATCCTATGCAGTCTCATCCTGCATACTTCTCGCATAGGAGACTTCTACTGCCTTCTGGAGATATGATGAGACGTCCAAGTGTGTTGGCTTTGTGTATCAGGCAATTGGTCCTGTGTTGAAAACCTCTCTCTGGCTACATCAAGGGCATCTTGAAACCCATCATACAAGGAACCCCCAGCTTCTGTCACGACACTACAAACTTCTTACAGAAACTAAGCACCACGGACCAGCCGAAGCAGGAACATAACTCGCCACAATGGATGTTTCAGGACTCTACACCAGTAACCCCCACAATGATGGCATCACTGCAACCGTCTTAGTACTCAACACCAATAACTGCCAATTTCCAGGCACCATCCTACAACACATCTGCTTCATCCCTCAACCATAATGTTCTTCACCTTTGACATCCAGCTGTTTATCCAGGCACAAGGAACAGCCATGGGGATAAAGTTTGCACCCCAATACGCCAACATCTTCTTGCACAAGTTCGAGCAAGAGTTTTTTTTTTTTTTTTTGCTGCACAGGACCTCCAACCAACGCTATACACCAGATACATCAACGACATTTTCTTCCTTTGAACTCATGGCGAGGAATCCCTGAAATGACTACACAACAATATCAACAAGTTTCATCTCCCCATCAGACTTACCATGGACTACTCTTTAGAATCAGTCTCATTCATGGACACATACGTCTCCATCAGGGATGGTTACCGCAAGTCCACAGATAAACTCCAATGCTGCACTTCTCTAGCTTCTACCCTAAACATGTTAGAGAAGCCACCCCCTAAGGACAAGCCCTGCATATGCACGGGATCTTCTCAGGCAAGAAGGAAGGCAATGGACATCTAAAGATGCAGAAATATGCCCTCCTAAAAACAGGATACGATGCTCAACTCATTGAATACCAGGTCCAACATGCTACAGCAAAAAAAAAATTGTAAAGACCTCCTCAGAAGACAGGCACTGGACACGACCAATAGAGTATATTTGTCATCCAGGACTCCCCAGAGTATGTTCTCCGCAGCCTTTAACATGTCATCAGTGATGATGAACATCTTGCTAAGATCATCCTTACACCTCCAAAACAACTGCCAAAACTTAAACAGACCATTGGTCACAGAAAACTACCCAGTCTTCAGGACAACATCAACCACAACATCACTCAACCCTACCCCAGCAACCTCTGCAAGACATGCCAGATCATCAACACGGATACTAACATCACATGGGAACACTACTCACCACGTACACAGTAGATACTTATGTGATTAGGCCAATGTTGTCTACCACATATGCTGCAGGCAAGGATGCCCTGAGGCATGGTATATTGATGACACCACGCAGACGCTACGACAACGGATGAATGAACACCATGCAACACTTGCCAGACAGAAATGTTCCCTCCCAGTGACAAAACATTTCAGCGGTCAAGGACATTCAGCCTCTGATCTTTGGGTAAGCGTTCTCCAAGGTGACCTTCGAGATACACAATGCAGAATCACCACGCAGAAACTGATAACCAAGTTCCGTTAGCCTCTTCCTCACTGGAATATATATCTTTGAGCCGTGAACTATTTTCTTAAATGTCTGTCATTGTTCCTCAACTGCCTTGATGCTAAACTCTCCCTTCCCAGTCCATATTCAGCCAGCTCTGCCCTCATTCTTTTGTAATTACTCTTAGTTTGAGCGGGAGGAACTTGAATCAGAAACAAGTATGCTAAGCTTAAATGAATGCTACATTCTACCA